GTAACTTTCCCCAACACTGCACATAAATGTACTGACGTTCCTCACAACTGTGGCATGTGAGCCGTCACACCGACGGATCACACCTCAACACAAAACCAGAAGAGCAACCCACTGCTTATAGACGTGACGAGCTGTTACTGCCTCACCATATAAACAGTATAAAGTTGACTGGAATTCAAAACGCTCAAACATTCATTTATTTGATCAGTTATTGCTGTAGAGGTATTTTTCGGTCTCAAGTTAAGAGTTAGTCACACACGTGAGGTATGTTTATGCAAATAATTCTAGATACTTCATATCATAACCATGGCATGCGTAGACTTAGACTGCAGCCTAACAGCTGTGCATGTTCTCTGCATTATTAACTGTATGAAACAGCTCTGCCAGTCGGTCTGTTGAAGTGTAGAGGTTAGTGACATTCAAACAACACACCCACCACCACAATGACTGAGTCTTTCCAGACAGGATTTATAAAGCATAAAGACTCTGAACACTAAAGCAGAGAGAGAGAGAGAGAGAGAGAGAGAGAGAGGAGCTTATAAAGAATGTGTCTTACTTTTCTGGAGCTCTGCAGCCAGGCTGAAATACTCTGTCTTGGAGCCTCTGGAGGGCAAGTGTAAACAGATCCCTTTTTCTTGTGACGGCACTACTGGTCATGTGACCTGCAATGCTTTGCATGCAAATGCTGTGTTCTCAAAGACTGGTCCTGCTGGTCTGTGCTTTAGTTGCAGTGCTATTTTAAAAGAGCAGCGCTGTAGTAAGTTCTCCTAATGAAGATGAAGATTTGAGAGGAGATGGTCTTAATGTCAGCTCTCTGCTCACTATTGGAGCATTTGCTGTGACTTTAAGCCAACTGTATCTGAGAATTTACAGTGTTTTCAAGGGTTTCCTCAAACAAAGGTGACTGCATATTTTTGCCCTGGCCTTCAACCCCAGAACCTTTTATCAACCTCCTATTTCCCCCATTGTCTAATGTTTACTTTGTCAAGCCAACATAATAACCATGCTATGCAAGGCACATTACAACACTACCAGAATTTACATTCATAAGGCACAATGTCTGACATATAGTTAAACACTGCTGAGTTTCTCAACATGCCATATGTTTTCACTGATCAGAAAGCTATGCGATCAGGAAAAGACAGACTGAAATGCATTGCAATCCTATCACACAAAGAGCTTCAGGAAGTGGTTTCAGACACATTCCTGACAAACTGTAAATGCATCTGTTGGTTAAGGATACATGTGCAAACTGTATTCCTCCCAAAACTGGCAGCACAGCACGTCTGTTGGGTTTTGTGCAGTGAACTCCATCACATTGACAGTATTATGTAATGCACTGATCAGTTCTCCAGCGGGCTGCTTTATATGCTGGTGACCCTGTGCCACTGTAAATGGCACCCAAAGGCCTGAATCAGCACTGGACACTTCAGCACTGCATGTCCGGCCAATTATGGTGATTTTGTAGGACTCTCTGGCATGTGAGACTGTTGTTCTTGGCTCTAACTTAGCAGCTGGTTTGTATGGTTGCATGCATGTAATGTCAAGTATGACGCTGCAGATCTGATGAATTGAATATGGCAGAGTTTCAAGAGCATGTGAAGCAAACACTGGTCCAGCAGCTCTTGCTTTCTGCAGCTACGTGTCTTATTCCTACTGACGTAAAGTGTCTATATTGAAAACATTAGCTGAGAATCATAGCTTTAATGGCTTGTGTTTATACTTGTATTATTTACAGTTAATAATAAAAAAACTGCAGTACAGTATGTGGGTCATTCTCAGCAAACGCTGCCAGTTCTGTCCCTATGACTTACTTCTTGTGTAATTAACGCCTTACCGAACTCTCATTATTTGATCGATTGGATTTTTAGTGTGTTGTGCAGAAGTCAGAAGACATGTCATGTCATGCAAAAAACATTATCGTCACTCCTATTTGCTATTGTGACAAACCAACATAATTATGGTATTTTGGCAGAAACAATATTGCCATGACATGTTAAAAATCAGCGCTAGGGTTGTAGTAGAGCATGACTGTGCATCAGCCAGCAAAATTAATCAAAGGTTAGAAAGGTTTGGAAAGACTTTGATTATGTAATGCTTTGGTAACGTAACACTTACTTTTTGGTTACTAGACAGCATAACACTCCAGATTCATGTCTGAATTGAAGACGAGAAGGCACAAATGCAACCTGAGATTATTTGTAACATTGTCTATTAAAAGCTGGTGTAAATATGAGCCGGTTTTCTCAGCAGACAGCTTGCTCACTGCTTCCCATCAGCAGCTGCAAATGAAACCTTCATCTGCTGTATATGAAATGCATTTTAATGCAGATTTCAATGATGCAATTATACTTTGTGCATTCCTATAATATTTGCAATTAGTCATTTTGAACTGATTTAACCTGGTTTCTTCATGAATTTCCCCACAAAAAAAATGCACTGAAAAAAAAGGTGTAAAAACAATTTTCAATCAGAAATTGCTAGTAAACTCTTACAGAGAAACGGCAAGTAAACCATTTAATTTTTTTTTAAGTAGAAAGACTTAAATAGTATTTTCTTGTAAATGTATTTCAATGTTGTAATAATGATCATAAGACCTTAAAATTGTGTTATTGAGTTTTAAGTTGTGAGTTATTAAAGTTATTGACAGAAAAATGATCAAACAAATAATTATCTTATATGTATGTCTATATGTTAGAGGACATACAAGTTAATGAACTAACTAGTTAGCTGTTTTTGTCTATCTAAACTTATATACAGTATTTCAAATACTTCTACAATTTTTGCAAATGATATATTGAAAATTTTGATATAATAATTTTTACTAATTATATATCTATATCTATCTATCTCTATATATATCTATATCTCTATATCTATATCTATATCTATATCTATATCTATATC